ATATGAGTTCAGCAGACCACTAATTAGTAGACTTTTACTAAATACATTAGGGAGACAGTGGGGGAAGTACTCTTGTTTCCCTGGAACCCACATGGGCTAGAACACAGTTATTATCTTCTGAGACATTTCAACTCCTTTAATCACAGAAGATCTGTGCAGTCGTCCAAGACAGATGATAACTTACATGAACAAAGTAGGAATATATTACTTTCAAACAGGCATATACTGTGCCAGATTTCTTTAGTATGTTCATACAAAAGTATACTGTATGTCAGCACACAAGTGCATTTTTTTATTACAATGACTCATTAGATAATCCCACAATGGTGCACTACTTGGGACATAAAGAGTTGATGCATGCTGTCACATCAAAACCTATGTCAACAGCGCATTATATATATCTACACAGCTAACACATTGCAGAAGAGAGAAGGAAGTGTGTAAAAACGTGTAAACGATTTCCCAAGAGGTAATATAAAAGAAAGATAGGCAATGTGGTGGCTAATTGTTTCCCTGCTGGCCCAGTGGTTTCTGGTTCAAATACACATTAGGCAACATTTTTTAAATTGACCTGGGCTTCTAAAATGGGTACCAGGAAATGCCCTGGGAAGTAAAGGTGTCATACTGACCACATCAACTGATCTATATAAATAAGAGTAAATCACCAAATACATATAAGGTATCAGTGGCATGTCAAAAGGATACGAACTGAATACTTTTTCAGTCACCAGCAGACATCTTATTTACAGGCCTCGATCCCTCCCCCCCCCCCCCCCAACTTAACCTTTTCATGTCTCATTAACTCTTTCAAGACATCATTATTAAGTTATTATATTTCCAAATATTTTTAATGGTTGACAAGCATCTGGTGATTATATTTCATTAAACTGCTATCAGTAAGCCAGTATATGTGGCCAGACAGGATCTTACATACTGTTTGTTTCCTTTAGTCTTGGTAACCATAGATGCCAGAACTTGATGGCTCAGCCCACTTAAGCCACCCTCTAGTTTAAGTGAGCTAAGTTCTCCCAACAATTCAGTGGGGGCTAAGACATTTTTCACTCCCCCCCCCCTCCCCCCCAAAAAAAATAATTTGCAAGTGCACTTAACCATGTGTAGACGTTCACATTTTGAGTACTTCTTTATAAATTCCAAATATATTTCACATATATTATTATCTTTATCTGCCATTCTGCATCTAATAATAAGAAATATTATTACTGCTGCGTAAGCTCCATGGCTTCCGCCTCACCCAATACTTTTGTGTATCTTGGCTTTCCTGTTGGTGATCATTCTTAATCTTTTTAGCGTTCACTGGCTGTTAACTCCCATGTCAAGTTCTGGCTCTTCATCCACTTCTGCACTTCAGTTCTGTTCCAGAACTTTTGAGTTTTGCGTGTGTGCGCACATCCATTTTACAGATCTTGCTTATTTTTATGCAAATTGTTGGTTCCTTGACTCATAAGGCAGAGGCACTCTAGCTTCGGAGGGAACACCCTTAATTAGCTGACTTTTATGACTACCTGTTAGGGAGCAGTGACAAAAACAAATCAGAAAACACCATTAAGTTTAAAACAGCAACATGCAAATTAAGCAGCTCAATAATATTCTGTGCAGTTTTTGACTGACTGACTTTTTACCCCACCAGGACATCACACAAGCGACAAACACCCGGTGACACAATGTGCCACCATGCGGGTGAGGATCACCGTGGAGAGGTCCCAGAAACCGCGTTCAGACAATTGGCCATATTTATGGCCTGCCTATATTGCGGCCCCTGGCAAATGCCAGGGTGGGGCTTCAAAGAACAAAAAATTGTTCCTAAAAAGGACGTAAGGATTATTAACTCTGGTGCAGTTTTTAAAAAAGTTTTGATTTTATACTTTCTACAGCCTGTACAGTTTCATCACAAAGATGAGTGGCAGATGCAGAAGATCCCTTTTCCACACCTTCAGGCATATTGGGAACATTGGGCTAGACCTATATTTTTTTAGACCAATTTGCACTTGGTGGGTGATGTGGTTAGCATCACGCCAGCCGCCTTTACTTCCCAGGACTGCACCTGGTACCCACTTAAGGCTGGGTCGACCTGGGAGTCAAGGTAATTTTATTAAAAAAAAAGTCCGGCTCCATCAGGACCCGAAGAGTGGCAAATGTAGATCACAACAAATAACCCAGTTTGAAACTGTAACATGTCATCTTCTTCTTCTTTGTTCACTGACTAAACTCCGATGGAAAGTCATGGCTGCTCGTCCATTTGTACTTAGACTTTATGCCAGGGCCTGAGTTTTGCGTAACGTCCATTTTACTGACTTATTTGTGTGCAGTTGGTTGTTTCTTGTCGCTCGGGCAGATGCACTCCGTCTTTGAAGGAAGCCCGCAATTATTTGTATACTACAACATGCTTTTTAGGGAGGCAGTGGGTATATTCTTGTTTTCCCTCACAATATGGTCCCGGAATGCACACGGGAAGTATGTCTTCTAACCAGGGTTTTATTCTTCTATAAAAAAAATTTTTTTAAACAGGTACTGGAGCTAACTGCAGAGTGTCTAAACAAAAAAGTGTGCCAGCATTTACTACCTAGTGTCTTTCAGAGTAGCGCTGAAAAATTGATGCTTAAAGAAATGTGCTGATACTGCAAACTTTTGCATACCAGATAAAAGCCCTGATTTAACCAACTTCATTACAGGAACTCTCTCTCTCTCTCTCTGTAAGTGTGTGTGTGTCTCTCTCTCTCTCTATATGTATATCTATCTCTCTCTCTCTCTCTCTCTATCTCTCTCTTTAGGTTGGAATTTCTAGAAGCTTGCCCGCCAGCCCCTGGTTTGGTTCCGCACTAATGTGGCTTTTTGTAAATAATCCCAGGGTACCTAGCCTAAAATGGTTATCAGGAAATGTCCTGAGAAGTAAAAGGGGCTGATTAGCTGTTTACATCATCATCCAATCAGTGCCAATTGCTCTTTAACAGGATTTTTCAACTGGCAGTCTATGGTCAGATGTGCCCCACAGAGGCCTAGCAAGTGGCCCGTGGAATATTGCCAGTTATATTGTATTAATGATCTCTCTATGTTAGGCCTCGAGCCACTGGCCTGTGGATTAATACCAGTTATATTGTATTAATGATCTCTCTATGCTAGGACTCTAGCCTATGGCCTGTGGATTATTGCCAGATGTATTGTATTAATGATCTCTCTATGCTAGGACTCTAGCCTCTGGCCTGTGGATTATTGCCAGTTGTATTGTATTAATGATCTCTCTATGCTAGGACGCTAGCCTCTGGCCTGTGGATTATTGCCATTTGTATTGTATTAATTGAACAGCCTTAAAAGTCTGTGGTTAAGCACCAGCAGGGAGATCAAAATTAGAATTTTGAGAGCATGCATCTTCCCTGTAGCTACATACGGATGTGAGTCGTGGACTATCTCTCAGTCCTTAAGAAAGAGAATAGGGGCTTTTGAGCTGAAATGCTATAGAAAGACTCTCAGAATATCTTGGACAAAAAAGAGGAGAAATATTGACATCTTAAAAGATCTGAACATCAAGGAAGATTGGCTAATAAACAGCATCCTTTCTCGGAAGCTGAAACATTTTGGTCATATCAAGCGCCACAACGGATTGGAAAAAACTAAAGCAGAAGGCATGATACCAGGAAGGAGGGGCAGGGGTCTGAAATAAATGTTATTTCAGTCTGTGGTCATAATTCTGTTTCAGAAAGGGTATTTGAAGGTAGGATCGAATTAGGTGATGGTACCAGTAACTCTGAAATTATGTCTGTCTCTCCCCTCCCCAATTCTGATGGTACCTGTAACTCTGAAATTATGTCTGTCTCTCCCCTCCCCAATTCTGATGGTACCTGTAACTCTGAAATTATGTCTGTCTCTCCCCTCCCCAATTCTGATGGTACCTGTAACTCTGAAATTATGTCTGTCTCTCCCCTCCCCAATTCTGATGGTACCAGTAACTCTGAAATTATGTCTGTCTCCCCCCTTCCCAATTCTGATGGTACCTGTAACAGTCTGAAATTATGTCTGTCTCTCCCCTCCCCAATTCTGATGGTACCAGTAACAGTCTGAAATTATGTCTGTCTCTCCCCTCCCCAATTCTGATGGTACCTGTAACAGTCTGAAATTATGTCTGTCTCTCCCCTCCCCAATTCTGATAGGTACCTGTAACAGTCTGAAATTATGTCTGTCTCTCCCCTCCCCTGAGCCAGAGCTAGGAACAGAGACAGAAGTGGCTGCTGCTCTGAAGCTGAGACTCATTCAGGTGTAATCTCCTCAATAAAGGCAGGCTGGTTTGGATCTTCACTTCTCTACCTCATACTCTGGTAGTATACTTGCTGAGACTGCTGTTTGTTTCAGCCCTGGCATTATTCTTCCCCTTGCATATCTTTAGAGTGTTTAGATATTACATGTTGTGACCAGAGGCCACAATCTTTTCTACAATGACCAACCATGTTCTCTATCAAGTACTGAACACATATGTGTGCCATATTCTTCCATCTGCCAAGCTGTTAGGACTTCCGGTCAATTTGGTGGATAGGCGGTTCATCATTTTTTGTCAAGGCAAGTTTTTGCTTCTGACAATAGTTAGCCCTTGCACTTTTCTCCATATGTAGGCTGAAAGGATTTAGTTCTATGGCCCAGCTACGGAGCTGATGCACGGCACAACACTTTAATTCATGTATTTCATTTTGAATGCTTTTCTACCATGCCCAACGTGGTTTGTGTTGATAACTACAGATTCATAAAACTGCAAGTGGCCTGTTGCCAAAGAACTGGTGGTGCCTTGTGCAACTACTGATCTGTTGTAACTGTTGCTTCTTCTATAATGTGTATCTTTTTGTTGTATTTTGTTATTATATTAAATAACACATAATAATGGCAGATAACTGTGAATATAGTTTTACTGTTTTGTGAATATTCTGTCAGCAAAATAAAAAAAATTAAAACTATAAAAAAACCCACTGCACTTAAGATAAAACACATGAACATCTCACCTCCAATTGTTGTAACAATGCCTATGAGCTGTAAACTTTGAATAGGATCTTGAAACAGAAGATAACCACCCAACAAAGTCATACAAAACTTCAGATGTCCAATCATGTTGTATCTTAACAAAATGTCAAGGTCAACATAAAATGTGTGCCTGTGAAACTGACATTTAACTTTCTCTTCTATGAATCCTGAAAATTGAAAATCAACAAAGAAAATACCACAGGAGCCAGAGAAATATACTTTTGCAGAAGAATTAAAAACATACCACAGGCAGTTAAAAATGAGTAAACTAAATATGAACAGGATTAAACTACAGACTTTTCACAAACATTATAAGAAGACAAAACCAGGAAAATACTCCTCAGAAACACCAAAGGAAATAGTTTAAATATTCAAACACATGAGAACAAAATATAACAAGTGGTAAGACTAATTTTTTTTCTTCTGGTCTGCCTTTCATCATGGTACAGAAAATTATGAACTTCAGAATAAATTCTGCCGAACTATGGGTGCTGTCAGAAAGCCTGATCATCTATAATAGGCAATGTATTTGATGAGGATATGATTTAATATATTTACCACACAGATCTAGGGTCTTTGCTGACCACTGAAACACACAGAATAAATAATAAGCACAATGCTTACAGAAGCTTGTTCTATCTTCTTCTTCTTCATCACGCTGACTGGCTGTAAACTCCAGTGGAAAGTTCTGGTTGTTTGTCCACCTCTGGACTTCAGTCTTGTTCCAGAAACTGAGTGTTACATGCACATCTGTTTAATAGACCTGACTTGTATGCCATCTATTGGTTCCTTGCCTCTCAGGCAGATGCACTCCGACTTCAAAGGAAGCCTTCAATTAGTCGATTCTTTCGACATGCTTGATGAGAAGGCAGTGGGTCTATTCCTATTTTCCCCACAATGGGGCCCGTAACCCACACAAGGACTCTATTGTTCTATCCTGACAGCACTGTTTCTGAGTTTGGAGAAGGAAAGAAAGCTCAGCAACACTGACCCTCATGGCTTAATACTTTAGTACTGAGCCAACAGGAAAGCCTCTACAGCCAGCTCTCTATGACAGTCAAGCCTGGAATGCCAATATATACATCAGACTTAAGAGGTGAAGGTCAGTCTATCAGACAACTCACAACTAAAACCATGCTGATGGACCAATAATAAAATAGTTATCATTAGCTATTCAATCAATCAACATATCCTTTACAGAACGTCCCTTTCTTTATAACACACCTGAAAGTCTCTCTTTCTCTAACCATGACTCCAGCCCTGTGTGCTTTCATAAACATTGCATCTACAATGTCTTTTATCCAACTTTGTGGTGGTCAGCCTCTGCTTCAATTTCCAGAAACTGCCCTCCATCTCTATCCTCTCCAGACCACCATGTCACTTGACATGTCCACTAAATGTTATTGTTTTAATATTATCACTCATTCACTCTCTGTCAGAACCCTGTTTGTACAGTCATGAGGCGGTGCATACCATAGAGACGGTCTACGGTGTCTATGGGCATGACCCATAGTTGATGGACAGATCAGCATGTTGGAAGCATGAAGGTATGTGCTGTAATAGTCGAGGGAAACTACCGCTCAGCGAGATCTAACTGTGACGGTGATTAAGGCCTGAAAGAGTGAACGCTTTTTCTGGTGGGACCACGATTGCTACAAGGCCCTGGCTGAGCGAACGGACTGTGACAAAAGCCACAAAGTGTGAGACAGAGGCATTAATTTTTGGGATAGCGGACAGGAGACATGAGATAGTCAGAACTTAGTGAGTTATAGGAATATTTTAGTGACTGAATAGATTTTGATAAAGTGTACTGTTAGGGTAGTATAGCTTCTTTGTGGTGTATGGTGTCCGACAGTGACAGGTGTTTTTGTCGTAATGTATTTTGTGAGAAACGCCTAATTTTTCAGATTGTTAGTGTGATTTTGGGCTGGTTAGTGTGATGTTATCTATTCTGGCATACTGAACCTGCACTTTGCAGGTACTGCTCGATCTTGGTGGAGTCCAGGCTTCGCGGGAGCAGTGCTGGAGGAACCTGAGAATTATCCATGGGGATGGGAGGCGTGCTTGGCAGATGGTAAAGTCAGCATGACCAGGCGTCTCAGATAAGGGTGCCTACAGCTTTCGACATAAACTGCCTTATGTTGTTCTGTGATTATTTATTAAAGATTGTTGTGTGTGCTCCAGGAAGTGTTTCGGTTTAGTGTGTATAGAATAGATCATCTGTCACAGGCCCGTACCAAAAGCCACGCACCAGCAAGGTCAATCAGAGATCAATGACACTCTCAAAGTAATCCTGTCAGATTTGTTTCTACCATACGAACCCACACGTTTTCAAGGATACGTGACAGGGGAAGTATTTCCAATAATCCAAAATATGGATAAATTGACAGTAAAGGCAACACATGCTGATATAAATACTGCAACCTGGATAGAAAAAAAAAAGATTAAAATTTGTTAATATATCTACTTTAGAGACGGAAAGAAAGAAAAAAACGACTTTAAAAAAAAAGGAATTAAATATGGTAATGTATCTATTTTAGAGATAAAAGCAAAAAAAAAATGACTAATAGAAAACACATGAGAAGGTAAGAAAGGTTGCATCTGTTTTTAATCCTTCCCAATCAACATAGATTTGTTTTTGATGTTTTGCCATTAAAAAAAAAAAGAAAAGAATTACAGTTGTTATGTGTGCCTACAAATATACATCACTGGATACGTCATCTATGCCATATTCTTCTTTTTCATATTCTGAGCTTCACTGCTGCAGATATCGCCCGCCTCCACTCATCACTTTGGTTGGCCTTCTCTTTCTAGTTGGTGACACCAAGTGTTTGCAGGTCTGTCTGGACATCATCTGTCCATGATCTTCTTGGTCTGCCTCGTGGTCTATGACCATTCAGCTCCCTTGTGTATACAGTTTTTACCTCTTTGTCAGCTGACATTATCTCAATATGCCCCAGCCATTACTGATTTGTATGTACATTTTACCAATTTATGGAACTGGTTAAAACCGTCTTCTTCTACCCTGTACCCTCCAAACTGCCCTATCCTGTGTAACATCCTACAGTTCAGACCATGTCCACCTCAGATTTTTCAGCTCCATCTCTAATTCCTTTCTTCATGTGTGTTTTGATCTCCTTCATCTCTTTTTCTTTGTCAGTTCCAATGAAATTATGCGTCACATCCAGTGGCAGGGTCTTCACATCAACAGCACTACCAGCACGCGAACTCTTGTTTGGCTACTGCAGAAGGGGACAGAACAATGGTGGCTATGTCTTACATGTACTGATTTCAATACTTCATTCATTCCTTTATTAATTTATTGTAAATTTTATTATAGTTCTCTCTCATTAGTTATTCTGTCAGACATTTTTAAAATTCTGTGCAGTGAATGAAGGCTCACAGAATAACAAACATTAATGTACCTGAACGTCATTATATTATTAAGTGTGGTGGTTTAGGGATTACTGCAATAATTTAATATATGTAATTGTTTACGGACATATGTAATACTTTATTAAACTGTATTTATTTATAGTTTTATAGATAAAGTTTATATAGTTTATAGATAATTGCAATTGATTAGAGATATATGTAAGAGTTAAGGGATAAATGTAACAATCAAGGGATGTTGTAACAAAACATTTTAGGGATAAATGTAACAGTTTAGAGATGTGTGTAATAGTTTACAAATGTTTGTAATAGTTTATATGTAACATTTTAGGGATATATGAAACAGTTTAGGGATTTTTGTAACAGTTTTTAGTTATATGTAACAGTTTAGGCATATATGTAACAGTTTAGAGATATATGTAACAGTTTAGAGATATGTGTAACAGTTTAGGCATATATCTAACAGTTTAGAGATATATGTAACAGTTTAGGCATATATGTAACAGTTTAGAGATATATGTAACAGTTTAGGCATATATGTAACAGTTTAGAGATATGTGTAACAGTTTAGAGATATATGTAACAGTTTAGAGATATATGTAACAGTTTAGAGATATATGTAACAGTTTAGAGATATATGTAACAGTTTAGAGATATATGTAACAGTTTAGAGATATATGTAACAGTTTAGAGATATATGTAACAGTTTAGGCATATATCTAACAGTTTAGAGATATATGTAACAGTTTAGGCATATATGTAACAGTTTAGAGATATATGTAACAGTTTAGGCATATATCTAACAGATGGAAACTCAAGATTAACTGTGCAAAGACGGTCTACACAATCTTTACCAAAAGCCACCAAGTAGCAAGGAAGAATATTAACCTGAGGTTAGACAAACACCAAGTGATGAAAGAAGAGCATCCCACATACCTTGGAGTCACACTTGACCCGCAGCTCAGCCTCAAGAACCATATTGAAAACATCAGGAATAAGGCATTGAGGCGGTTACAGTTATTAAAGAGACTTGCAGGTACATCATGGGGATCAGACAAGGAAACTCTGAGGGGCTTATACCTAGGATATGTTCGCTCTGTGATAGAGTACAACAACTCACTGCTTACAACTTGTTCCAAAACTAACCTAGAGACTCTTGACAGAGTACAAAATAATGCCCTCCGATTAATCTGCGGAGCTATGCAGTCTACACCAACTGCTGCATGTGAAATCCATACAAATGTGGAACCCCTCGGGTTGCGGAGAGAAAAAGCCACTTTAGAAATTTATGAAAGATGCGTTAGGAAAAATCGTAACCATCCTAATAGACATCTTGTAGAAAACTGGGAACCCAAACAAAGAATAAAGCACAAATCAGTTTTACACTGTGTTAATGAAATTCAGGACAGATACCACCTCCCAGAAAGACGTCAAGGAATTCAGAATGTTGCAAAAAACCTACCACCACATGCTCGCTTTAAAGCTCCAGAAGTCCAAACTAAATTGGTAGGCGAGGAAACCAAACAGTCCGACCCAATCGCTCTTATGAACTCATCACTAAAGACCGTTGATTCTTACCCCCAAGAATGGATACATGTCTATACTGATGGATCAGCATTTAAAGCTACCATTAAAGCAGGTTACGGAATCTACATAGGTTATCCCGATGGATCTGTTGAAGAGATTTTTGATGCATGCGGGGAATTCTGTTCAAACTATGAAGCTGAAATAATTGCACTGGAAACAGCAGTATACCACCTAAAGACTGTAATGGATGTTTACCCCTCAAAGGTCCAAAATATTGTCATCTTCACAGATTCAATGTCTGCCCTTCAAGCTCTGGAGGGCAATGAACGCTGCAGAACTGACATAGCCAAGATAATCCTGGATGCCGATCAGCTTATTACCTCATACAACATCAGAATAGTGATGCAGTGGATTCCAGGTCACTCCGGCACACCAGGTAATGACAGAGCTGACAGATTGGCAAAGAAAGGAGCAACACAAGAACAACCACCTACAGCGACAACCCTCCAGACAGCAAAAACACTGATAAGAGCTATAAACAAAGAGACTTGGTTGAACAGATAGGCCATGGGAGACACTGGAAGAGAGGTTTATAGACATATGTCTGGCCCTGATCCTAATGACAGCATTAACCATCTAACAAGAAGGGACCAGGCCACCATCTTCAGACTTAGAACGCAACATACTCCACTCAATGGACACCTAAACAGAATACAGCCACAACACTCCCCAGAGTGCCAGCTATGTAACTACCCCTACGAAACTGTTGAACACCATCTCTTTGAGTGCCCAAAACTCAGTGAGACAAGAAGAACGCTACTCCCTCCGAGACCAGACAAGTGGAACACCTTGTACGGAGGAAAAGAACAGCTTGTGAAAACATGCAAATTCCACTACATGGCATTGGGCCAAAGGGCGAAAGCTCATGCGCCGCTGGATCGATAACAACAACAGAGATATGTGTAACAGTTTAGAGATATGTGTAACAGTTTAGGGATACGTGTAAGTTTAGGGTTCTATGCTGATGGAGCAGTTCTATGCTGATGGAGATAGCTTTTTGACCACAATCACTACAAAGAAATTTAAGACAACCCCTTCAGCTGGAATGTCATGATTACTGTCTTCTCAGACAAGGGAGGTGTGATTCTTCTGCATGTGATGCCAAGAGGAGAGAAAATCAATGACCATGCTCAGATCAGGCCACTGAAAAAAAACTCAAAGTTTTCATAGAGTTTGGCGGCACAAGAGTCTAGCAAAATCTCCTTCTCCTTCATGACAAAGCACGTCCTCCCACAAGTTCGGGTAACACAGAAAGTAATCACCAAATTTGGTTGGACTGTACTACCCCCATCTTCCCTACAGTCCTGATTTGACAGCCTCTGATTTTCATCTGTTTGGTTCATTTAAAGATGCCCTCTGTGGGACAAAGTTTGAAGATGATGGAGTGATTCATGTAGCAAAGAAATGGCTATATGATCAAGATGAAATCTGATTCTTCTTCTTCTTTTATTTTTTTTATTTTTACGTACGCTTTTACCGCTTCAGGTGTCCAGGCAGACATAATGTCCTGCTTCGTGCTTTTCTGGCTGCTTCAACCATAGACACATCGTGGTACTGTGGAGTTTCTCTGATGTTATCTTTCCATCTCGTTCTTGGTGTCTTCATGCATGCCTGTATGTATGCCTCTCTCTCTATCTCTCTTTCTGTGTGTGTATGCGTGTGTGTGCCTGTATGTATGTATGTATGTATGTATGTGTGTGTAAGTGAGTGGGTGGGCGTGTGTATGTGGGTATATGTATGTGGGTGTGTGTATGCACGCGCGGGTTTTTGCATGCACTTTACAACTCATGCTTTCGTGTTCTTTTATAATATTCATAATTTGCACATCATCATATTGATCATAACATGCTTTATTAGTAAAATACAACTGCTGTGCGAAAGATGGTCGACTGGAAGGGCCGAATGTAAGATGGGCCTGCGTGCCCAATTTGTGACCCTTTGAAAATAAAGTTTGTGCGTTCATTCGTTCGTTCGTTCATTCTACCTCTTGCTCTATGTCACTCTCCTCTTTTGGTATATTTATGCCTTGAATGGTATAGCATCAGACGGCATTATCTCTAAGTAGGCAAATCATGTGATAAGCTGCCTTTCTATGTAATTTAGAATTGGTTCTGTGCCGACTTTATCTCGTATGACCTCATTCCTGATTTTATCTCTTCCGGTCACTCCTACTAGTGTGATGCTGTCTTCATCACCCACCAAGTGCTGATTGGTCTATAAAATATAGGCCTAGCCCAATATGCCCTATGGCATGGAAAAGGGTCCTTTACAATAACAGCCTTTTGACACATTATTTCCATGGTTACTAATTTTCTTTTTTATGTTTTGTTGTAAGCGACCACGTCTGGTGCTGATAGCATGGGGGGGTGAATATGCTTTGTATGAGATGTCTCTGATTGGGATAACCTTATGCTGTAAGAGAGGGGCTAGCTATCCCAATACCTGGCCAGCTTTACTGCATCGAATTTCAATTTCTTTGTCTAATTTACCCTCTTTAGTGAATGCTGTTCCAAGATATTTAAAATTAAGATGCCTGTTTAATATTCTGATTCAATCAAAATCTGATTCAAGCTAGGAATACATGCAAGTGTAAAATTATGTGGTGTGTTACGTTTTGAAAGGCCCTCTAGTGTAGGGATATATGTAATAATTTAGGGACATATGTAACAGTTTAGATATAAGCTCAAGTTTAGAGATGATTGCAAGCGTTTAGGAATATGTGAATTTGTTTTAGTTATATGTAATAGTTGGGAGCTGCCATGGTTTAGTGGCTAGACGCTCGCTTGCAGATCAGAAGGTCATGGGTTCGGGTCCTAAGGAAGCTGGATTTTTTTTTAAAATGACCTTGGCTTCCAGCTTGACCCAGCCGTGACTGGGTACCAGGTGCAGTCGTGGGAAGTAAAGACAGCTAGTGTGATGCTGACTACATCACCCACCAAGTGCTGATTGGTCTATAAAATATAGGCCTAGCCCAATATGCCCAACGGCATGGAAAAGGGTCCTTTACTTTTTCTTTATATATGTAATAGTTAAAGTATATATGTAACAGTTTTGGGATATGGATATGCGTGATTATTTAACCAGATATGCAGTCACATAAAGATATATGTAATAATTTAGGGATATAAATAATAATATGCTTCTTCCTCCCAGTTACTCTGTGAAGATAATAGACTGTACCTAGTAACTTATACACCTCTAACTTAGATATCAATCAGTCTGCCATTACTGCCTGTGTAGACTAATTTTGCAGTGCAGCAGGGAAGTCTTTGAGGATTTAGGGCCAGACAGCTAGTCAGGCAGATTCTAACACTGGTGGGACCCAACCTTCTCCAGGTGGCCATTTCCCTGATAGCCTGTCTTCTCACAGTAGAGGGGAAGAGGAGAAGAGGCAGACCAAGTAACACCCAGATACAGAACTTGACTGACTGGGCGGGCCTTAAGCATCAGGACTTTCTGCTGGCGCTTACAGATGGTAAAAAAAAGAAGTATAAAGGTTCTGGGCCTTTGTTTCCAAAATTTTTTTAGGGTGAAACGGTTTTTTAACTCTTTGAGTCCTAGTGAACGCATCACGTGCTAATTTGTTACAACCACAATCGAGGCGTGACAAGTGAAGGTTTTTAATTTACCGCTGACCGGTCATAAAACGCCGACCGCTCAGTTTCAACTTCCTTTTGAGTTCTTTGTGTTTGATATCAGGCATCCTTATTTAAAAACGTGGTCTGGGAGCCGAAAATGTAGTATATTTGCGAGATTTACCGGGTTACTAAGCTTCTGTTTGAAAAGAATATGGCTGCCAAGCAGTATTTTACAGGCATGCCAACATGATTAACGGCTTTAGAAGCCTCAAATTTAAATAAAGTACGTGTTTATTCGATTTATCCTAAGTTAGATAGATAACGTTGTAAATTAGGTGTGTTTTAGTCATTTATAGAGTCAAATTTTGATGAGGGATATGTCTAATGTGTACCTCACGCGAAGAGTACAACAACAGCAAAATCAGCTGGCACAAACAGAACAAACAATTTTCTTCAGTGTCAGTTAATTCTTGTGCTATTCCCCTTATTTTTCAGGAATATAGCTACAAAATTACTGGCAAATTGAGTATTATATAAACTTTGTTTTGTGTGAAGATAATTATTGTTTCGGGAGTTAGTTTTCTTTACCAAATAATGGTGCTGTTATGATGCTTCAAAAGATTCTTTGTAACAAAATCCAACGTATAGATTGAGTTTATATTTTAACTATTCATTACTAAGGGGTTCATATTCATTTGTGATTCATTTTGGATATATTTTAACCAGTTTTTCTTGAATGACATGGTGGTAAGTGTAATTTTTTTTATATTTCATTTTACTAATGTTTGTAAACATACTTTCTGTTTATGTACTAATATTTAATTACTAACACAATTATTTGTTGTAGCTGTATTCTGTAATTATTCCTTAACAATCCCTGGTCACTGGTGTATAATATGTGTATGTTGTGCGTCTACTGAATTAGTATGGTCTGTTTTAATGTGTTACACTTAAAAAATTTAAAAAATTGCATAACCACCCCTTGGGCCTCTGATGTTAAACCCCTGGGACTCAAAGAGTGAAACAAAAACAGGTCTTTCACTTTAAATAATACATTTATACCTCTTAACTGACGACACATACCAATGCTTGTAGTGGCCAGTTAAAGAATACTCCATGGAAGGCATCGAGAGGTTCAAAGCAAGGGATCACAAATAAAAGAAGGAATGCCGACAACGGAGCTTGATAATACAGCAACTGCATGGAATTCACTTGCAGCTCATGCTGCTTTTCGCCAACCCACTGAAATAAAAGATATACATACTTTCCATTGAAATGATATAGACTTTAGAATGAAATGATACATACTTTAGAATGAAACGATACATACTTTAGAATGAAACGATATATATACTTTAAATAGAAATGATAGATACTTTAGAATTAAATGATATTTACTTCAGAATGAAACGATACATACTTTAAAATTAAATGATGTTTACTTTAGAATGAAACAATATATATTTTAGAATGAAACGATATATATTTTAGAATGAAACGATATTTACTTTAGAATGAAATGATATATACTTTAGAATGAAACAACATATACTTTTGAATGAAACGATATATTATTTTGGATGAAACAATATTTATTTTAGAATGAAACAATATATACTTTTGATTGAAACGATATATAATTTAGGATGAAATAACATTATTTTAGAATGAAACAATATATACTTAAGAATTAAACACTATATACTTTAGAATGAAACGATATACACTTTAGAATGAAACGATATATACATTAGAATAAAATAATATACACTTTAGAATAAAACAATAAACACTTTAGAATAAAAAAATATTATGTGATGAGGCCACAATCTCTTCCACAGTGTGACTCTTATACCACTGAATGCCATGAAAATTGTCTTTTTCTAAACCATCCACCATGGAAATCAAACCTTTGTAAACATTGAGGATTGCACTGTGAAATGATTTTACTTACCTCTAAGCCATAACTATACTATGGCATAATATACTATGCCACTCAACAAAACATATATTTATTATAATATCCTTAGCTGGCATAATCCCAGCTATATTGCCCATCAAGTGCTAATCATCATTAGAGTGGGAATCCTTGAGGCCCTAGAAATATTATATATATATATATATAATAAACAGACAATTATATTTCTACGGTTTCAAGGGTTGCCCCTCTGTTTATTTATGTGAATGACGTGTACACAATGGAACCTACCAATCACATCTATTTCTTAATAAATGTTTGTGTATTCTAGACAAAGCATTATGGTCTGCTGTGTTTGTAAACTGTTGCTGTGTTTTTTATTCAACTTATGCTTGGTTAATATAAAGTTCTGTAACCTATGGTGCCATTTCATTGGTCTGAGATGAATTCTGTCCATATTCCATAGTTTAATGTTTCAAGCTGTGTGACTGACATGGCGAATGAAGAAATCTTTTTTTAAGGTGCATAGTTGGTCATGTTCTTAGACTGCTTGCTTCTATAGTGAGTCACACACACCATTTGGAGGTGACAAGTTCGATTCCTAGCATGGTAATTACAGCTTTCGATTTGTATGCTGTCTAGTGTGTCCTTCTTTCTACTTCTTTCTATGAGGGCTGATCAATACATTGTCTCTATCCTTCATAATCTTTTTTTATATCAATTTTTTATTCTTAATTTTCACCGGCTGTAAATACCAGCAGAAAGTTCCCACTGTTTTTTATTTTTCATTTCTGGACTTTTTTTTCCAGAACTTGAGTTCTGTGTGTGCCAATCTGGCTTACTTGTAGACAGACTGTTGGTTCCTCGCCTCTCAGGCAGATGCACTCCCACTTCGAAGGAAACACCCCGAATTAGTTGATTTTTATTATATGCTTGTTTGTTCCGTTTTCCCTCCTGAATTAGTTCCCCAAAATCAATAAAGGGAAGATGGAATCCAGTCCAGTACCTGTGATCTCTCATATCAATGTTCCTCAGGCTCTCTCTTCGATAAGGCAGATGTGGTCAAGGCCCTTTAGGAACAAGCAACGCAATCAGTAGAGATAAAAGATTATTATGGCCTGGAGAGAATGAGACATCTGGGGGTAAACAGAGGGTCTGGCAGGCTCACTACATTCAGAGGAAAGGCGAGATGGACATTTAACCAGATCGTGACCGGTACCATCAATATTGGAACTCTGCGCTGGCTGCTGAAGATGAGTACGGAGCATGCATGGGACTTAACTCAACTCAGCTCTCTTGGACGTTCTCTTTTCCTTACATCCATTTGTTTCCCCTAATCAGTACTCATGTTGGGATTGTGAAACTGTTTTATAGCTCTTAAGCCACAGACTCTGACAAGAATAGAAATAGACAATATAACTGACCCCAGCACTGCAAAAATTCATTTAAACAGCACTAACATTTATAATAGAAATAGTCTACTGCCACTTTTAAACAGCACTGACATTTATAATAGAAATAGTCTACTGCCACTTTTAAACAGCACTGACATTTATAATAGAAATAGTCTACTGCCACTTTTAAACAGCACTGACATTTATAATAGAAATAGTCTACTGCCACTTTTAAACAGCACTGACATTTATAATAGAAATAGTCTACTGCCACTTTTAAACAGCACTGACATTTATAATAGAAATAGTCTACTGCCACTTTTAAACAGCACTGACATTTATAATAGAAATAGTCTACTGCCACTTTTAAACAGCACTGACATTTATAATAGAAATAGTCTACTGCCACTTTTAAACAGCACTGACATTTATAATAGAAATAGTCTACTGCCATTTTTAAACAATTTTATAAGAAGGATTTATAAAAGAACAAGAGATTTATTAAATGCAATATACAGTACCACTTGATAAACTGACGTCACCAACACTCCAGATATTGCAAAGATAATCCCAGGAAGGTTGAATTTAACATCATACCATGAATTCAAGACAACACCAATGGTGATAGGAACCTGAAAAAATACAAGTATGAAGAAGACATATAAACTCTACTGTTAGAGTACAAGTATTTATATGCATAATAATCAAGAACCAACATAGCACATACATACTCTAAAAATAAATGTATGCTAAAAACAAATTCTTCTTATTATTCTTATTCTTTAGTCTTCAACAGGGCAGTTGGCAAGTTGTGTTAAAGGTTAACAGCTTGGCTGTGATATCTGCCTTTCAGCCAAACACTAGATTTCAGCAAACCCTTAATTAGTCACCTTTTATGATGTGCTTGTTAGGGATGCAGTGGCTCTAATTCCCCCCCCCCCCCCCCCCCCACTAAAAAAAAGGTCCCCTAGAACCCACATGGGAAAAACAAATAATTCAATCATCTAACTAGAGGTCCAGTTATTCAGCCCAAGAGTGGCATGAAGTTTCAGAACCTGTGACTAATCCTCCATTATTGATATCCCTATGAGAACTGGGTCTGAATCTGAAGACAATGAAACACCTATGAAGGAAGTATTTAAAATATAGGCCTTATCCCAGTCAGCCCATCTCATATGACCTCTTGAACTCAACCAGCCCATCATATATGACCTGGTAACATCATATAATAGGCTTGAACTCAGCCAGCCCATCTCATATGACCTGGTAACATCATATAATAGGCTTGAACTCAGCCAGCCCATCATATATGACCTGGTAACATCATATAATAGGCTTGAACTCAGCCAGCGAATCATTTATGACCTGGTAACATCATATAATAGGCTTGAACTCAACCATGTCAATATGACCTGGTAACATCATTATAAAGGCTTGAACTCAGCCAGCGCATCATATATGACCTGGTAACATCATATAATAGGCTTGAACTCAACCAGCCCATCATATATGACCTGGTAACATCATATAATAGGCTTGAACTCAGCCAGCGCATCATATATGACCTGGTAACATCATATAATAGGCTTGAACTCAGCCAGCCCATCATATATGACCTGGTAACATCATATAATAGGCTTGAACTCAGCCAGCGCATCATATATGACCTGGTAACATCATATAATAGGCTTGAACTCAGCCAGCCCATTATATGACCTGGTAACATCATATAATAGGCCCTCATCCCATCAAATACCAAGGTTGGCACCCTATGCTTCTCTGAAACCTGACACTGAAAGGCAGAACAAGACTAGAGAAGAAGAAGATGATCACAGACTGGGTTACAGAACAAGACTAGAGAGGAAGAAGAAGAAGATCACAGACTGGGTTAATTCTGTATTTTGCATCTAATTTTTTTTTTTTTTTTTAGTGAGCTTTTTTTATAGCTTTCAGTTAAAACTGTAATGTTTAAACAACTTTGTCTAGGTGGTACACAAGTTCCAGTAGGAATTGCAAGAACTCTGAAGACATATTTTAGTATTATGTAGCAATGGAGACTTTGCCTTTTTCATTCTCTCTCTCTCAATAACAGAAGCTCAACATACTACTGCACAGATGTAATTTATCTATTGCTGTGTGTGTTTGTGTGTGTCTGGTTAATATAACTGACTTCAATATGGTACTATTTTTTTCAGTTTGTCAACATTACCCAATATCCCATTAAACATTACAGAGAGCTATGAAGAAGACATGATTTGTAATACACACACAGCAAGGGGAAGATCAAGTGGCTCTACTGGCAAATCCGGACGAAGAATAAACAGCCTTGGACGACTTAGTCAGAGTTCTCTCCCGTGGCCGCACTCCAAACAGTGATCGGAAAACAAACGAAACAAACGACGCACTTAGCTATCATCCTGTGGTTGCGTGTAGGGCTGCGTACGGTTGAGTGAGGCATCGTGGCATCATCATATGGTTGCGTGCAGGGTTGCGTACGGTTGCGTGAGGCAGTGTGAATGGTTGTGTAGTCATCATCATGCGGTTGTTGGATTAGAGTTAGGGGTAGGGTTAGGGGTAGGATTAGGGTTAGGGTTAGGGGTAGGGTTAGGGTTAGGGGTAGGGTTAGGGTTAGGGGTAGGGTTATGGTTAGATGTGAAAATTTTGACGTAGGATTTCGAAATACTGGCTGACAATCTGATGTTTGTGGGAGTGGCGCCACTGAAACTCTGCCAAATATGACGCCATTAGCGTGCGGCTGGTGCCCCCAATTGTTGGCGAATTGTGCGTTTTACCAGCATCCAGAAGCCCTCGATTGTTTGTGTGTGTATGGGACTGTGCGCGATTATAGGGAACTCCGGCGTCAGAAGTGTCAAATCTAACGCTAAACCTAACCCTACCGCTAACCCTAATCCTACTCCCTACCCCTAACCACGCAAATTTATCGATCATTAACGCATACAAATCGGTAAAAACAACAAACAAAACACACCCAAAAAAACCCAGATTTGTCCTACAGCGTCGAAAAAAAAACCAGATCTGGGGGAAAGAACCAAGCATTGGCAGCCCTGATGTCGACGTGACTGTCTTCTTTGTTTTGTTGTGGCTTTTCCGATCACTGTTTGGAGTGCGGCCAAGGGAGAGAACTCTAAGTCGTCCAAGGCTGTTTATTCTTCGTCCGGATTTGCCAGTAGAGCCGATCATGCAAGCCACTGAATGACAGAATCAAGAACAAACTTACAGAGATAAAAACACCTTTCACAACATGTTAGAAACAGCACACAGACAACAATCCCAACAATAACAGTATGTTAACAGAAGAACTTAGAAGAAGAAGAAATTCCCATTAGATGTTTTGATAATATGAGGGAAGGAAAGGGGGGAAAGGGGGAAAAAGGGGGGGGGGGTTAATTTTAAATATAAGTACAATTTCATTACAATACTCAATAAACAATTAACAAGATCTGAGTGTTGATAATTCATCAACAATCGATACTTATCAAGAATCATAAAAAGAAATCACTGCAGTGCAATGCAACTCTAATGTCATTGAACTACTGTGAAATTAATAATTATATTATTTATAATAACATTTAAAATAAATATAATAATATGTAGATACTTACTAAACTTAATTTAACATTCCGTGAGAAACTTCTACCATAAAAGTACGTCTGAATTATAATGATACATGGGGTTGTCATAGTCTTTATAATCTGGTAAGTGCCAACAGTATTTGACTCCAACGAAAGATTCGTCAACACGACGAACCCACAAAACGAAAAGGCAAGGGGCAACATTGAGAGAATTGGGAGGCTCTTGGGCTGAAATACGTTTGCCTGTCGGCAAATAAAAAGCCCCAAAGACGTGATCATAAAATGAATACATGTCAGCGTGATATTTGGGAAATTGTATTTCGTGTAGATCCATTTATTAAGCAGAACTATAACAATGGAACTGACAATATTGGCTACCGCCCCAAAACACGCACTGGTTTTTCCTGGCTTTTTTCTTATCAAGATGTGCTCAATTTTCTGGTTCCTCCGTTAAAAACACGCAGATTTATAAATGCAATGTAGACCTACATATAGCATCTTTATTTCAGGTTCTTTTTGTGATGTCCTAATGAGATTCGCGCACTTATTGTATTTAAAAACATTCCTAAACAGATCGGAGTGACTTAAGGCGTTCTGTAAATTAGTTGATCTACGCCAATAAAGGGGGACACTAACCAAACCCCCCCCCCTGATATCAAGTGATTCAGGGGTTTAGAAACTGTTGAGGACAGAAAATAGAGAGGATATAGATCTAGATCTATCCACAATATTTTGCATTACTTTGACCATTGACGTCATCTGGCCCTAAAATAATGCACTACACATTACAAGTCTAGCAGGTAATTGGGAAAAAAAAACCTTACCCACTACTCAAAAGATCTCCAGCGAATCAGAGCAGCATATTCTAAATGGTGTCGGTGCAATTGTTTTGCACCGTTAAAATTAGTAGCAGATCAATTCACAGAAAATGCAAAAACACCAAGATGAGACCTATCAGTTAGCCATCACAGCTTATTACAATTTGACTTTGTTGTGAGTAATGATGGTACGGAAAGTTGCATAGAACTAAATGTTCGCGTCCTTTACTTATTTATATTGCACTTAAGTCTGACCTCACTGATGATTTTCTTCGAAATATGTCATCATTATAGATGAGTTGCAAAGACTTCATCCCATCTGAGAAAATGTTTAAAGATTTTACATTCAAAAAGGTTTACGCTGTATCTTCCACTGGTTCCAGTGAGGATGACAGTGAAGAATTCAATCTAGAGCTTTTGATGTGAAGTGGGTACAATGTTACACTTAATTTGGCATTTTCTGGCATATTTTGGGTAATGGTTTGGCATAAAATAAAGGTTTTTTTTATCTGGCAACCACAGTATGGAATGTCCTTAAATCACACCTGATGTAGTCGCTAAACAGAAAAGAACCCTTATCCACATAAAACCGATATGTTGTAAGTGCCTTGGCTTCCAGATCGACCAAGCATAAAACAGGTTCCAGGAAACATCCTGGAAGGTAAAGGTGGCTGTCGTAATATTGATTACATCACCCATCGAGTCATTCGGTCCACATGAGTAATGGGTTTAGCACCATATTCACTGGCGTGAAAGGCATGTCTCCCTCTCCCCTAGCCCCCCTCCCCACACACACACACAAAGGTGGCGGTACTCACCGTGTATTGCAATAAACAGATGCCGACACTCACCACAGTTATCTGTTGGCTTTTCTTCTTCTTCTGCGTTCGACATCACTCATGCTAAACATTGAGTCCTGTCTGGGTCACAAATAGGATTATGCGTTTAAGGTCGCCACCGGTCCTCCGTAGCTTCTCTTGCATGTGGCTCCCTTGGGCCAGATCCACAGTCTTTGCTGGGAGAGGTAAGGGCAGTACTGTAGTATGTGCCCAGGGGTCTGTCTTTCTGCTCCACAATCACAGGCAGCAGATTTTTTTTATGTCTATCCTGTACAGGTGTGCTCGGAGACCACAGTGTCCAGTCCGAAGTCTAAAAATTGTGTTTGTTCTTTCCTGTTGAGTTTGTTTATGCTGTTACTCTCTGGTCTGTAATCTCCATTCTGCCTGACTTTCTACCCCACCAGGATATCACACAAGCGACAAACACCCGACAAAGTGCCGCCATGTGGATGAGGATCGCCGTGGAGAGGTCCCAGAAACCACGTTCAGACAATTGGCCATATTTATGGCCTGCCTATATTGCGGCCCCTGGCAAAAGCCAGGGTGGGGCTTCAAATAACAAAAAATTTCATCCTATAAAGGACGAAACGATATATGGTTATCAACCATTCGACCTTCTCCACTCCCGCTTAAAAGACTGCTTTTGCGCTGTTTTGGTTTCCTTGTAGCTGTGTGGTGGTGCTTCACTTTTTGTTTTAGGTCAAAAAGTTGAGTCTCATAATAAAAACTGACTGCGATGGATCTCCAACACTTTCTTTGTCTCTAAACTCGGGTTGTGTAGTCTGACAGAAGGCCCAAATTATTGTTATTATGAGTACTATTGCTTCTTTGCCATCGTTTTTATAAACTCGCATACTATTCATTCAGCATTTATGCAACAGTAACAGAATGACAAACTCGAAACAAATTAAAAAGCAGAATATGACCAAAACTGGTGATATAATTCGTTCAAGAACAAATGACAACACAGAGTTTGGCTTCCTGACAAGAATGCCAGTGTACTAGCTATTACAGAGAGCAGTCAATTTATATGAGCACATCAGCATGGAAGACTGCAAAGTAGCGAGCAGCGGCATCAAAAACTATATTAGAGACACGAATAACAGCTTACATCTTCTTCTTAGAGTCCATGCCGTGTGGCGTTGGTAGTCAAATCTATCCAAAATCTTCTGTCTTGGTAATTTCAAATAAACTTTGACACAGATAATCTACCATACCATGTTGTTAAACTGTCCATCATATTTCTCTCTCCTTCTGCCTCCTTCCCTTAAACTTTCCTACCGACACAAAATAGTTCTTATCATCATATATGACCAAAGAATGTAGATTGTCTCTTTCTGATGTGAGCCATCAGTTCTGTTCCTGGGTCAGTTTCTTTCAAGACGTCTTCGTTACACTTTTTATCTGTCCATGGTATTCTCATCATTCGTCTACAAAACCACATCTCCGCAGCTTCCAAATAAGTTTTCGCTAATTTAGTAACTGTCCATGATTCACATCCGTATATCTATAAAGGATTTATATAGTTTTACTTGTTCTTCTTTCGTTTCGGTTTTGTATGCTCAGATCAGACCATCAGGTCCTTCATGGTTACCCGTAGCTTGCTTCGAAGTTGTATGTAGAGTGGGAAGGTCTGCAGAATGTGCTCAGACGTTTGTGGTCCTTTTTGACAGGCACACTGTGAGGACTGTACAATCTTTATTTTATGCATGTGGTAGTTGAGCCTGCAGTGTCCTGTTCGTAGGCGGAAAATTTTTGTATGTTGCTTTCTGTTGAGCTTGCATATAGCTTTAAAGAATGCTCCATCTTGTTTCAATTGACAAAGAAAGATTAAATAAAATATTCTTTATTTTGTAAAATACTGCCTCTTCTTAAGCTATTTGACATTTAACTTCCATAATACATCTTGCATCTGCCGTAATCGGGGTAACCAATTCATGAAACATATCAACTTGCTAGAGGTTTGTCCCATCTACTTGATGTTGCATTTTGAGAGTCAGTTTTCATCGTAATTGCCATTCTTCTTCTTCGTCCTCTTCGTCTTCATCTTCTTCTACGTCTTCATCTTCTTCTATGTCTTCTTCTTCATCTTTTTCTACGTCTTCTTCTTCATCTTCTTTGCCTTCTTCTTCATTGTCTTTTTTCTTCTTCGTAACTTCTTCTTCCTTCCTCTTCCGTCTTCTTTCTTCCTCTTCAGTCTTCTTCCATCTTCTTCCTTCCTCCTCCTTCTTCTTCCTTTTCCTTCTTTCTCCTTCCTTCTTCTTCTGTCCCCAGAAGGGGGACAAACTAAAGTCCCCAGAAGGGGGACAAACTAAAGTCCCTAGAAGGGGGAGAAACTAAAGTCCGCAGAAGGGGGAACCCTAAATTCCCCAGAAGGGGGGACAAACCAAAGTCCTCAGAAGGAGACAAACTAAAATCCCCAGAAGAAGGACAAACTAAATTCCACAGAAGGAGGACAAACTAAAGTCCCTAGAAGGAGGACAAATTCAAGTCGCAAGAAGAGGAACGTCACCAGAAGAAGGACACACTAAAGTCCCCAGAAGAGGGATCCCCAAACGGAGGACAAACTAAAGTCCCCAGAAGGAGGACAAACTAAAGACCACAGAAGGGGGACAAACTAAAGTCCCGAGAAGGAGAACAAACTTAAGTCCCTAGAAGGAGGACAAAGGTCCTCAGAAAGAGGACAAACTAAAGTCCCCAGAAGGAGGACAAACTAAGGTCCCCAGAAGGAGGACAAACTAAAATTCCCAGAAGGAGGAAGAACTAAAGTCCCCAGAAGGAGGACAAACTAAGGTCACCAGAAGGAGGACACACTAAGGTCACAAGAAGGAGGACAAACTAAAGTCCCCAGGAGTAAGACAAACTTGTCCCCAAAAGCAGGACAAAGGTCCTCAGAAAGAGGACAAACTAAAGTCCCCAGAAGGAGGACAAACTAAGGTCCCAGAAGGAGGACAAACTAAAGTCTCAGAAGGAGGACAAACTAAGGTCCCCAGAAGGAGGACAAACTAAGGTCCCCAGAAGGATGACAAACTAAAGTCCCCAGAAAGAGGAAAAACTAAAGTCCCCCAGAAGGAGGACGAACTAAAGTCCCCAGAAGGAGGACAAACTAAAGTCCCTAGAAGGGAGCAAAAACTTAGGTCACCAGAAGGAGGACAAACGTAAGTCCCCAGGATAAGGACAAGAAGGGGGAAACCTAAAGTCCCTAGAAGGAGTCAACACAGTCCCCAGAAGGAGGACAAACTAAAGTCCCCAGAAGGAGGACAAACTAAAGACCACAGAAGGGGGACAAACTAAAGTCCCGAGAAGGAGAACAAACTAAAGTCCCTAGAAGGAGGACAAACTAAGGTCCTCAGAAAGAGGACAAACTAAAGTCCACAGAAGGAGGACAAACTAAGGTCCCCAGAAGGAGCACAAACTAAGGTCCTCAGAAAGAGGAAAAACTAAAGTCCACAGAAGGAGGACACACTAAGGTCCCCAGAAGGAGAACAAAGTCGCCAGAAGGAGGACAAACTAAAGTCCCCAGAAGGAGGACGAACTAAAGTCCCCAGAAGGAGGACAAACTAAGGTCACCAGAAGGAGGACAAACTAAGGTCACCAGAAGGAGGACAAACTAAAGTCCCCA